CACACACACACACACACACACACACACACACACACACACACACACAAATTAGCGAATTATATAAAGTAGGATAGGCCGAAAGTTCAATGGGAACACATTTCCAACTGTGAATGGATGGGTAGGTACAACGCAAAAATTTTTATTCGAAGTTGTTAAACTCAATTTTCAAACTAAATTGGACAGAAGTCGGGAAGCTTGTCAGCTCTGCTTGGGATCTTCATCAGACAATACCTTCGGAGCTTGAGGAAACATTATGCTCGATTGAAAAAAAAGACGAGAAAGAAGTTGAAAGACAGAGGAAAGACAATACCGAAATTTCCACCTGGTCGGCCACGATCACTGAAATGACACAATGCGCCTAATCCTTATTGCCAGACCCCGCTAAAACCAACTGAGTGCATGCATCATTATTGAGTTTTATTGTGACAACTAAGAACACATGATTGTGAGACATTTTTAAAAAAAAAGGAACCTTTGACAATCAGTCCTTTAGGGTACGAATGTCCTAATTCCCAACGGTGGATCTGACCCATGGCACCTGCTGAGCAAACTCTCATCAGAGGATCCTACCGTTGTTACGTACCTGATTGAAGGTGAGCTGTTTTCCTTCTATTTCGCGTTTTAGTAGGACAGCACGTTGGTATGTGACAATTTTTTCGTGACATCTAGGCTTTAGTGAAACATTTGAAAAATTTCTTTTTCGCTAATAAAGCGTGAGGTGTGAACTATTGACTGGCTGACTGAGGAAAGATGACGTTGTCCAGTAGATATCGTCTTCTTATGAGGGAGAGGCCTCGCGCTCACTCTCAGAAAGACGATTCCAACAGAACGTCTTCATTATCCAGTCAGGAGCATCAGACACCAATTCGATACTCTCTCTTTTCGAGTCCAGTCTTATGCCAATCTATTCACAAACGCTCTTGAATTTGGTAAGCAGTCGTCCCGATTACTCGATGCTACGGATGTCCGCAAACGGAGATGATGTAAATAGCGAATGTCGGTCTTCTCTTCCAAGTGCCCCCATTCTTAACGACGTACATGCTTTCGAAAGCGGCATTGGAAAGTTTGGGGGAGGTGGTATCGCCCTACCGACTCCTCTACTGGCATATTCCTGATCGTCAAGTTGTTGTAGAGCGTACGGAGCATCCTCATGTATCGATTAGAAACGTCCTGATTTCCCGAGGTTCCAATTACCAATTCCGTTCCGACGGTATCAGAAGTCTTCTTCAAATCGATGAACCTCAGACATAAAGGCATCCTGCACTCGTGATACTTCCTTGAGTCTTGTTACAGTGTAGATATGAACGACTGTCCTAAACACTCGCTTGACAGTGCTTCACCTTATATTCTTCCAATCCTGTTGAGGATTACTTGCTTGAAAAGTTTGTAGATCACAGACAGCAGACAGGTTAGGCGATACTTCCCAAATATCGTCTTTCATAGCCCGCCGGCCGGCCGGCGGACTCTGAAAGCAGCCATACAGAAGCGCAGTCTTGCTAATATTCTACAGAGATTACATTCAAGTTTATGATAACTGGCGACGAGATCATGAATTGTTCTGGTTTGTTTAATTTTGTGGACCGATTGCCGACAAGATTAAGCCAGAACATCTTGGAAGTTTTGATCCCTTATGTAGGGGATTTTTCCTTTCGTAGCGGAGCGTTCCTTCCTACTTTTATTGTTTGCTTCTAAGTTTTCCTTCAAAAGGTCTTTCTAGGAGTATCGAAAACAAACTTCAGGTGGCTCCCATTGCGCCGATATGTTCCCCTCCGAAGTCAGGGATGTACCAGATGCTGAGCGAAATGCAGTCAAGGAGATCCAACAGCTCATCGCTCAAAATATCGACAGCTGGATTTCGGATATCCCAAGCCCATTTTATCTTAGTAAATATCACACAATAGTGAAAAAAATAAGCTAAAGTTTATTTTTTTAAAATGTTATTCAGAAAAGAAGGAGCCAGAAGAATACATAGTGAGACGAAAAGTATCTGTGCCGGCGAATCGGGTTCCCCCTTCGAAAGATTCAAAAAGCAAGTTCAAGCTTTCAAAAAGGCAGCCGACACGAGTGAGTGGGGTTCTTTTTCATGCAGATCTTATAGAGCCTGTTTTCTCCCTCGAGTATGTGTATAGATGAAAAGAACAGTGACAGTAACAAGTATGCTGACATTTTAGGCTTCAACCATTCAACTGTCGTCTAAAGGAGAATCGAATAATCCTCAGGCTGTGCGTTTGGGAAGGCATTCATATGGATTCATACCTAACCGTGACAAGGTTAGAGGCATAATCACTGCTGTAATCTTCTTTCGATACAATTCTACTGTAGTTCAAGTTAAAGTAATGGGATATGCGAACATTCAGTCGAAGCAACTAAAAGGGTGTGATGAACGATAAAAGCCTGTCTTGTCACTAGAATGAGAGAGAAGAGGGCCAAAAAGGACAGTGAGGACTTGAAAATCGTCAACATTGCCTCTTCAGCAAAAATAAGGAGTTTAGCGGACAATTGGTGTGTATCGAGGAAATTGCACTTTGCTTTTTGCCATGGCAGGGCCTTCAAGTTCGCTATCCTCAAGGCCTAACACTTTAGTCGTACGTCGTTCAAGACGACTTAATTTTAAGTATACCATAGCGCAGTATATTAAAGGCACTGTTCACGGAAAAATGGTTTCGTAGATTTGCACATGGTTTGAATTCGACGCCCCCTCTGATGCCATTTGTGCAGGAATGAGGTCGGAAAACGTTCTGGATAGGGCACAATAAGGGGCCGGAGAGTTATCCACGGTCGCCCTCCGTCCCTCGCTAGGCTGACTACGAAACCTAATTGCCGTTCACCACTTTCGCATTGGAGCGAAGTTGGTGAAAAACCGATAAGCTGGTTGGCAAATTGCCAGGTTCAAGACTGTAGTCTAAATCACCTGTTTGGGTGTGTTGTCTGCTATTACAGACATTGCGTCGCCTTCTTGCACTGGCCCGTACACTCCCTAACTGCCGTTCTTTCAATGTGAAACTCATCCAACCCCCCTTTCCAGCTCTTTTTTTTGACCCTTTGTAATTCTTTTTGTTCATCGTTTTTTGCGCTTTTTTCGTTGTTATCGCTTTATTCTATAGAACTTCTATCAATTCCCGTCAAAAAAAGGTACCCTAAATTTATTGCGACCGGTGCCTTTAAGTCTTAAGTAACGGCGTAACACTGAAATTCCATAGCTAATAATTGCTTGATTTCCCACTTCCTTAATAATCATTTAGGAAAAATCTTCCCTGAACGAGGAAAACAGGGCGACAAGGTCGCAGCGAGGTAAGGTCTTGAGACAGACCAGGGTCCTTTTGAGACCTGGTCCCTTTCTCCTCCTTGGTTTCCAAACTTCTGACCTTATCACCGTGCAAATTGATGCAGCAATTGAAAAATTACTATCAAGTAATCGATATGGAACACAGACTGGAAAACAATTGGTAAGTAGGAGCACTGCTACACGCCGCATCTCACTTGACGTCATAATGCGCCTGAAAAATAATTCTCTAGGTGGGTGATCGCTTATCAGCTTTATACTCGCTACTGTGCCGCCAGATGCCCCCGAATGCATAACGGCAGCGCCATGACCTTTGGGTTATGCGCAAACGCACGGTCCTGATTTAACTCGGTCAAGAACTCATAAGCCTCAATTTTCAATTCAGTCCATTTCATCCATTCATCTTATTTTTCCTGATTTTAATTCATAGTGATTTCCAGCTGCTAGACATACCAGCGGAATTCGAGAGTGGATACTTCACCCAGCCCGTGGACCATTTCAACAACAAGAACCCAGCCACATTTGAGCAGGTGATTCTTCCAAACCCCATTTGATCTGGTAAAGGGCTATATTTACAGATGAATAAAATGCAGAGCAAGTAAACAAGCAAACAGTCCCATCATGTCCTAGTTTCGGCGACAAATACTCTAAAAAGCTATGTAATCATGAGGAGAGAAAGTCTTATCCAAGCTAGGGCTTTATCTTCAAAAAGCTATTCGCTACCAAGATCTTAACACCCAAGGAGTGTAAGAATTATTTGGTTGAGCTCGAAGGGCATGGTAGTAATTTTAAAAGGCCACAAAGGAACACCGTCCCAAATGCTCAGCTCGATTTTCTTCTGGAAAGTGGTTACCCAGGTAACATGAGTACTTCGCCGTTAGTAAAACGCTCTCAGCGATCAAATTCAAGAGTTTAATGATCCCATAGGTTTCTATTTGAGTTGCTTGGCCTCCACAAAGACAATTTCCAAAAATATTAGCTGTAATCCACCCATCTGCATGGATGAAAGTGAAATGAAAACTAAATTCACATATTAAGGAGGGTAAAACAAATTCTAACACTACATATACATCACAGAGATACTTCAAAAACGAGCAATGGGCAAAACCAGACGGTCCAAGTTTTCTGATGATTGGCGGCAACTCACCAATTCACCTTGAATGGGTTCTCAATGAGAATTACACCTATCTGCAATGGGCGAAGAAATTCGGGGCAACGGTGTATCTTCTCGAACACAGATACTATGGTGAAAGCGATCTTTTAACAACGTGGGATGAGTGAGTACATTCTATCCATTTCTAGTTCATAGAATTTCGATTTTTTTAATGAAACTTTCCGCAGATCCACTGACATCACCCTAAAGAAGAACTACTTGACCTACCTCTCATCGCTACAAATGCTTCACGATGTGGCCAATTTCATAGAAAACGTTGACGCTGAGAATGGTAAACGAGGCAAATGGATCGCGTTCGGTCGATCTTATGCAGGTTGGTTTGATCTACCTCAAAATCGCAATTCAGCCCACTTATCAATTCATGGATTTAGAAAAGTTGAGGGCACAGTTTACTATGAAAACGGTTTCTGTGTTCTCCCCCTAAAAATACCCAGTGGCCCCCATGGGTAACAGGAAGGGCGCTGTCAGGTCTCAAAAATCAACAGCTAAGACAAAGTGGGAGCCCCGTTACCGGATCGCCCGAATGCCCCGCTACTTAACCGATAATGTGTCAAATGAGTGTCGAGGTGATACAGATTGCAATGTTCGCGCCAGGACCCACACATTCAGCACGCAATCAGCTGACCGCTCGGTGAAGAGCCCATGTTATTTCTCCTATCCTATTCTTTTCTGTTATTTCTTTTTGATGCTGCCATACTTTATCTAGTTTTCTACCTCTAGAGGTGGAAAAATGTGGGCTGCTTTTGCTGTTACTAGTTTTATTGTTAATTTATACTTATGAGTGAGGAATATTAGAAGACGATTTTGCTCACTGTAGTCAGCTATTTACACGAGGACCCAATGACACACAGTGCATAGCTCGTCCAAACGCTCCATTCCGCTACATTTTGCTGGTCTCATCTCGTCCAGCCCTTTTTTTAACGATTTTTCGGAACACTTTCCACTTTGGAAACACCGAATCACGCACTTTCTTCGCCTTCACCGCACTATTTCCCACCTTATCTTCCAATTTTGTCATAATCTGGGTTACCCAAAATTATCGCGAACTGTCTCTTCAAGGATAATAGACTTCACTATAGATGCCAATTCATATAAAAACTGAAACATTATAGTTGGCCTAAAAGAGCTCTCGATTAGGAGTGGTTAGATAGTAAGTAAAGTATACAAGACAGAGCATGGGGTGTAGCAACAAGTGTGGATGATGAATAGGTGTAGGCCAATCCCTTCTTGGATTTTACGAAGAAAAGGGTGTGCTCGCTCTGTGTATGGGTATATGTTTGTGTTTTTAAAGGTGTAACTGTGAATAAGATCGTGATATGAGGAGCGGATGAACAAGTTTGAATGCAGAGTGGGTGCGCCGGGGTTTAACGAATGAATGAGGACGAAGGAGGATGAAAAGTCGTTGTAAATTTCAGTGGCAAGAGTATTGTTTTGCCTAAAAAGTCACTGTGTAAGCACTGATTATGTCTGAGAAATTGTCTACTGTAGACGAGGGACAGTTTCAACAAGAGGGAGGTAAATGATGGCCGTCGAGCACCAAAGGAGTCTCGATTTAACTGCCAACTGCTTATTGCCATTGACAAACTATGTTGCACTTGATAAATGGGATCGCTGTTAATGTTGCACTTCAACTGCTCAACTTTATGAAAGCGCGGAGTATCTTAAAGAAATAGAAAGAATAACAAAGGGTGGCTTGAAACCCAGATTAGGGGATTACGCTTGCACAGTTTGAGAGAATGAGATGCTTCGGTGACTGGCAACTATATGTTAAATTACAGTTCGAACTTACTCAAAAACTATTGTATCCCTACTTTCAAAAAACATTAATCGCTTAGAGTTATTATCTCTGTGCGAAGTGGCTTCCTTGATTCGAATTCCTCTTGAAGAGTTTCTTGAAAAAAGTGAATCCAATGGACAGGCTCCTTGGAGTGTTATGGGAGGATCTAGGACTCAACAAAACTGGGCCGATGTTCAACATTATAAGCATTTTACAGGATCACTAGCCCTATGGATGCGCGAACTGTTTCCCGATCTGGTTCATGGAGCTGTCGGTTCTTCGGCACCTCTGGAAGCAAAGATGGACTTCTATGGTAGTAAACTTTAGTTCTATTTTGAGTATCGCCAACTTATGAGAAGTTTTTAGAATATTACCAAGTGATCGAAGCATCAATCCGTAATTACAGCGAAGCTTGTGCGTATTCTATAGCTACGGTAGGTACATGTTCAGTAAGGGCCAAGTGGCTTGAGGGATTTTTGTTCGAATTGTTCAGCTTGGAATAGAGGGGAAAGTTTTATGTTCAGGGTTTTGAGGAAATACAAAATCTAATGTCTACGGAAGATGGGCGCCACGACCTATCAAATGAGTTCCAGTAAGATGCTTATTTGTATTTTGTATTTACGGACTTTTTCCGGGGACGGGCAATAGGAACGGTTTTTGTAATTGCCGTCCGGCGTCCGCCGCACGTGGACGGCCGACGCCGGACGGCGATTACAAAAACCGTTCATTATAATAGATATAGCGTTCTTCATACAGCTCAATCGCTAAGCGATTATTACTTATGGCATGATCCTACTATTAGTTCTTTTGTCCCTGAGTTTCTTACTTGCGGCTACATTCTGCTACATTCCGTCGCGCGCGGCGTCTCTCTTGCCGCGACGCGACAATTTCGTTCCTTTTACACCACACCCACTTTTTCCGGAAGTAGAGATGTTCCTATTGGGTTTTGATTAAGTAGTCATTATCGAGCATTCCAATCAAAAAGTGCAATATGTAGCACTTGAATTATACTGAAGTTTAGTCAGAGCTTCTCAAAATAGCGATTTAAGGTAACAAAAAAAAAACGCAGATCCAGGAGAATCCAAATCGGTACTCCTGCATTTACAAAACTTGGAAACAAATCACTCAGCACTCAATCCCGATTTTTTCAAAAAACGAGTTTATTCTTGCAGCTGTTAAACAAAAGTTTCTAGGCTTCTTGCCTCCATACTCATCATGCTTATGCGAATATATCCTATGAATAGTGTCACCTAGCAAATAAATGAACCTAAATAAAACTAGTAGAATGGAATAGATCCTAATTTTGATGAAGCTTTATTTTACAAGGCGCACACCCATTGGCGTTAATTATCTGCTTCTCCTTCCAGGTTCTACCCTCCATGGGACGATGTCTCCGATGTTTTTGATATAGACAAGCAGTTCTTCCACTGGAACCTTCTAGAACAGATTGCAGCAGCAGTTCAGTATGGTGTAGATCATACAGGGGTAAGCACATGAAGTTAAAATCCTTGGTCACCTTTCCCTATAGAAATGCTACACATTGCGAAAGCGCTCAATGAAGTAGCAACACCAGCAGCAGTTTTGCTCTGCCGCAAGCAAAACTTCAGAGGAAACGAAAGGAGAGAGGATGAAAAGGGGAATGGATAAGAATATATTAAACAGTAGCTGCACGCGATTCGAAGTATTTTATGAAGGCAACAACAAGACCTAGTATGTATGGATCTAATCTGGAACTAAAGTCGCCTGATCTGCTTGTAGTTCGGCAAATCGGCCACGAATAATTTCAAAAGTGGCCCACTAGTTTTTTTACTCCACCTAGTTAACATGCTTTCGACAGTCGGGTACAGATATCAACCCAAGCTATGTCGCTGGGAACGGATTGGTGATCATTTATAAAAAGACGGGATTGAGAGCGCACTGAGGTTTCAGCGTTGGCCACAAGGATTAGCGCCACTGAGCTGCACGATATTTTCAAAGCAGCGGTCTCGATCGGAGGCTATTCCTATCTTTCTCTTATCCAGCTCTTATTCTTTCAAATTCGCCAAAAATTCCAAACTCCATTTCCATGACGAAGTTACATGTTAAGCAAGACTTCAATAAACCAGTAAAATCCGTAAATGAAGAGAATGGATATCGTGGCCACGAAGTGAATTTGCCCTGCCCAGATACTCCTACTCCCACTCAGTAAAGGACGTAATTACCCAGAGCAATAAGATGCGCTAGATTCATCAGAAAATCACGAAACCTCCAGAACACGACAACTTATTGCAACCCATTTGTGGCTTCCATTTTGAGTGCCCAATAAGGGAGTTTCAATCATATCCTTTCTCATGTTATCACAGCTTTCACAGCTGAGAGACGTAGCTCGAATCTCTAGTTGTCAAATTTAAGTACCATGTCTTACTAATGTAGTATTTCTCTATTCAATTCATGAGACTTAAGTAGGCGCGACGAAGCAAGTGATGATGGGGCCAGTTAAGCTAGCGATATCTGATCAAATGGTTTTAACCAGTATAGTAGGTATGTAGCCAACCCGCCCCTGTAATAGTTGTCACCAGTTGGATTGTTTTTTTTTTTTTGAAGGGAAATGCTCATGGTCATGGGATTCCGGAATTATGCCACTTCATGGAAAGGTCCATCAATGAAACCCGGACACCATTAGGAAAACTGGCCAGTTTCAACAGATATATGACGGAATTCCACACGGTGGGTTTTTTAGAAAATTGACGAGTACATAAAACATGCTATCTACAGTAAAACTTGAAAGTCTTAGCCCAGACTTTTTGATCACACCTTTTTCATCGGGTGAAATCTAACTTCATTCAGAGAAGGTTCAACTCTTGCGCGATTTCGTTGGTACTCGACCCAAACTTTGCAAGAATGACTCGACTAATTGAGGCGATTGGCTCGTGAAGAAGTCGTTATTGAATAGCCATAACGGGAACATTCATGGCTGTAGAGAAACTGCGATTCCTGACTGTAACGGTACAGCAGACTAGCACAGGAGAAGCCCTGCATAAGAGAGGATCACTGGTGACTAGTAACAGACAGTTCGGGGCGTCTCCATTGAGCATCAGCCTACTTCCAGCCAAGACCGTAGAATGGCAATGAGAGGTGCACAGTCGAGCAACGAAATATAAAACGGGGATGTCATGTCATAGCAGCCTTCACATGCCTCATTTCTGTTGATAGTATATAGATAGAAGAAATTTGAAGCCACAAAAAATGACTTCCAAGATATCCCCTAGGATCAATCTGTGGCCCCCATGTATAAAATACATGTAATGTCATCTTGGAAGTCATCAGTCAAATAATTTAAGAATAATGTATGTGGCGATCGGACGTCTTAATCAGCAGGTCATAAAGGCTCGAAGTCCCTTTGTGTGCCAAACCCGACTGAAAATTTCCAAGAGGCCGTACTGTTAGCATCGGAGCACACACTGAAAATTCAAACCACTATTTAGTCGTGGCCCATGGCGACAGTGGAAAAGAAAATTGGTCTACCGTAGTCTTTTGCACGCAACGGCACACAATCGTTAGCTCGTCTGATACTGTATCAGTGTCACTTCCGTTGTCATATTTTTCCCAACCCCTATGTTAACTACTATATTGAGGCTTAATATTTCTCTAATCAGTTCTCGTTTTCTTCGCCACCTTTGCACCATTCTGGACCCAACTTCCATTATTCGACTCGAAGTAGATCCATCAATGTTATGGTTAACTGTTCCTTCGAGGCAATTTTTCAAAGAATACACGTCGTGTGAAATTTCCAAACATCGACTGGAGTGGAACAATCAAGACGAGCAACGCACTTAAAAGCTATGGTCTTATCTTGAATATCAGTTCAAAATAAGCCCGTTGCTTGTAGTTATACCACACTAGACATAGATGGAAAATCTATTGCCAGATGGAAAAGTAACTTGAAGTCAAAATCATTTTCTCGTACATTACTTCATGTTCAAATTTCTTCAATGGCGTTTCTATGATAATTATCAGGGTGCTCCTTTCAAATACACATTCAACAGTTACAAGGATTTCGTCGCCTCATCATTCCAGGCTCAATTTTCAAAAGACCGAAGTAAGTCCCTTTAAATAACTAGTCTTTGATAGAAGAAATATGGACACAAACATACAATGCATTAAATGCTTTCCAAAAAGGTGTCTCAGAAGATCGGGTGGTTTCTTTACAAATTGCAGAAGTGCACATTCAGGAAACGTGAACAAAACTGCTAAACATTTAATAGTGGGTATTGAAGTTTGGAATTGCGGGAGTAACCGGGTTTCCGAGCTTTATTTATTTTTTTTTTTGATTGCCAAAATGAAAGCAAAACAAGAAGGGAGCCGTAGAACTAGTCACTCTTTGCAAACAAAAGCAAGAAGCAGAGGAGTAGAGACCTCTGTCATACCTTTTACACTCATATGATTTCTGCGGAAGAAAAGCGACTGGGAACACATCAACATAAGAGCTAAACGATATCGATTCTCGCTATATATAATCTACAACTCACGGCATACGAAACTTCCCCACACACTAAAAACTCTCGGTAAATACGTTCAGGGACCGATGACAAGATAAAATACTTGTTTTTGAAATTGTATACTGCAAAGATCATAGCAACTGCTCAGACTGCTTTGTTGATTATAACTTTGGTCAGTGCATTTTTACCGTAAGTGTTACCAGTCNATGTACTATTTATACAGCATCACACGAAATTAGAGAATGGAAAAGCCCTCTATGCGACAATGATAGAAAAAAGAAAAAGAAATTAAAATGACATGTAGGAGATGTAGCGCTCAGCGGACAACTTGAATCGCAATGCCAAAAGTTCTGTTTGAATAAATTGAAGAATTTGTGGGCTCATGAACGTCATATCATATCGAAACGTTTAATTGCACACAATTATGAGGTACGTCACATCCTGAACAACCCTATGCATTAGTTCAGTTCGACAACTGCTCCAATCATGTAGGTAATTCTGAACGCGACTTAGTACGAAGCTCATACCAATCAACTGAGGGTAGAGAATTTTGTCTTTAACTCTCAGTTTTGTCTCTATGAGATCGATCTTCAACTTTGAATCTTACTTACTATGTTTCAGATGAGGCAGCTGGGCGGCTCTGGCTATGGCAAAGATGTAGAGAATTCGGCTTTCACGGCACAACTGACTCCGGCTACAGCATTTTCGGGAATCCACTACCATTGAAGTATCGTTTACATAAAATTTTCACCGTCTCGTCCAAGATCTCTTTTGACCTTAGGTGACCAATTGCGCCGCTGCGTTTTTGACACACCGGTCTGGTGCACATATAGAACATAGTTTTGAGGGTGCCTCCTTCACTAAAGTGTTGTAATGTGTAGGTCTCCTTTCCCAGTGCCTCAAAAATTGGCCTCAGATATTTCAACTCTTGCCTTATGAGAAATCTCCTTCTAGCACCTGCCTATGAGAAGACTTTACAGCTTCTTCACGCGACTGTGCTCGGATGTGTTCGGCTGGCGACATATAGATTACTCTGCTAAGACGAATGAACATGCTACACTCAACACGAATAAGCAGTACGGTGGCCGATACAACTACAAGGTAAANGTAGGGAGGAAAGAGAAAATTTCTTTCCAGGCAACAAATGTGGTGATGACACATGGCTCCCTCGACCCGTGGAAAGCTCTAGGCAAGGTGAAATGCGAAGAAACTGACAACTGCTTTATGATTGGAGGTAAACGGCTTAAGATATTGAAAAGTCTGAGGAGAAAGAATAGAATCCTACTCTCGTTTATAAAATTCAGAAAGATTGACTGAGCCCAAATATAGGGACGAGCAACGTTAAAATCCAAAATCTTTACCCTCAAACGCAATTGCAATTCTTCGTTCTATGAACTTTGTAGGCGCATGCGATCCTTTTGAGAAACTGTTTTTGGAGCGAAAGAATTGTTGAGCTTGGGAAATTTTCATCAACTTCATTTACATAATCATGCCCCAATTTATAACGAGAAGGATGAGAAGTCTCCTTTTGGTTATACAACGATGGTTAATCGTTTCGAAGTAAGTCATGCGCTTGAGAACTACCGAATCCCTCATGGACCTGTACAGATGAAACTTATGCATCGATTTAATAGGGTTCTGTATAGTTCAGAAAAGAGCTCTAACCCAAGCAAAACACTTGCCAATGCAAATTCACAATGTTACTGAGCGTATTTATCTTTAACGGTCAACTATGGAAATCAATTTCACTGTCTGGAGCAACAAGGCTCTGATAAGAGCGGAACAACTACACTCAAGTATTGCATGCGAGCTCCGGTGATGGCATTAGACCTCTCCCAAACTAACAATGACTAAACTCTTCTATTCTGCAGGATGTCAAATATCTCACCTTGATAAGTACTGATTTGTTTATCAGTTGTTCTTGTTGTTTACTCTCTAAATTTTTTCGTGCTTTGTCATTTCATAACCGTAAGGTTTGGACCAAACTCTGGCTACGACCTTCTTCCTATTAATGGACTTACCTGCGCATGATCAAGAAAAAAACGAAAATAAATTCATAATAAAACAAAGTCCCAATAAATGCTCACGTACTTCCCAAGCTATAATAGAAACCAAAGTTTTCACCTGTTTAGGAGCTGGTCATTGTGCAGAGATGTATCCTGCTCAAGAAGAAGACTCACCTCAGCTCAGTGAAACCCGCAGTAAGATTGAGAAAATCATTGGAGAGTGGGTAGGGCAACACAACTCTAACAATGTCGACGAGGAACAACGACCGCCAAACGTCATGGACACCAAATTCCCATTCCTTGTAATCGGGAAGAACCCTGGAAAACACTTTGATATCCTAGATTCAGTAATGCCGTAACCAACTCTACTGGTGAGACTATAATTCTGACATTACATTACACAACAATTATTTTATTCGACAATGTAAATACTATTGCAAAAAAAAACGTGCTTCAAACTGATCATCATAGTTAGAAATGTACTTTTTTTGCAGGGACTATGGCAATCAACTCCTTCAATCCCTCCTCCGAAGCAATGATATATTCACATAAACATTTGTATATCAGAAAACTATTACCCCATTTTGTTTCAAATGTTATCCCGGGTTGAATGAATATTGTCTAAACGTTAATCTGGCCGAATCGAAACAGAACAAACTGAGTCACTGGAGAATCAAGTCACAGTTAAACAACCAGCCACAACAATTGTACCCTTGGGCAGCGAAAGCTTTCTTTTGGAGAAGTCCAACAAGGTCAATACTGTCCAAAACATTCGTGCACACTGATATTTCGAAGGGGTAAGTACTGGTGGTCGAGAAATTTCTTTATGCAGTAGCTTTGATGAGTTTTTTACCCATCGGAAATTGTTGTCCTTACCGCTCTGATAAAGAGACGGCTCAAAATATTGGGTTGTCCGAAAAGTTCCCGCCGATTTTCGACGCCCCGGATTTATCAACTGTTGTACAAAAGATGAAGGATCCAACCTCATAAAGTTATATGTTTTCTGAAAGAGTAGGTCCTCCTCTATACTCCTGTTTGAATTTTGTCAACATTTATCGGAGTTTGTCTGTACAGGACTCGTATGAAAATGGAGAACCACTGCGCCCATTTTTGGCATCTGAAGTATTTCTTCTACCGCAAGCCCTAGAATGCGGCTGAAGCCGCATGAAAGATATATGACGTTTGAGTAGACCATGCTCTAGAGGAGCGTATAGTGCATGACTAGTTTACGAAATCCAATCAGATTGAATTTACCCTCGAAGACCGGCAACCCTCAGGGAGACTATCATCAGTTTAAACGATTAACTCAAAATGTTAACCGAAGCGAATCGGCACATTACTACTCGTGGAGTAGGACAAGGGCTTAATGTTTATTTATTTATTTATTTATTTATTTATGTTTCGGAATTAATCATTCATGGTCATCTGCAGACAGTTGGTTTTGTGAAACGCCGTGATGTTTAGATATCTCGCGAAATGAGCGAGCGCAATGCGATGGACCGCGCCTCCATGTGCGACTGGTTGCTCAAACGAAATAAAAATGAGCCGTTTCTGAAACGCATGAGCACGAGNTTTTTGGCCACTCGTCAAAAGTTGCTAAAGCTTGGGTGGGATGTCTTACCACACACCCCATATAGTCCAGACATAGCACCATCAGAATACAACTTGTTTAGGTTTCTGCAAAATTCTTTGAAAGGAAAATCGTTCAATCCGCTGGAGGACTGCAAAAAGCAACTGAGAGGGTTTTTCGATTTTAACTCTGGAACCTTCTATGGAAGGGGGGAACTGGAACTTACAGGAAGATGGCGAAGCCTTACTGAACAGAATGGGGGATATATTGTTCAATCAATGGATTTCTTCTTCTAGGAATTTTCATTCAAAGATGGATCAAAACTCGGCGGAAACTTTTCGGACAACCCAATACTTGGGAACTACAGCACTTCCGGGTTCTAAAACGCAGACAGATTAAATGTCGTGAAGAACCTAGAACTCGTGATGCCGACAAAGAACTTCTTCTGCCAAGGCCACCTTCATAGCTTTTTATTCTCATTCTCTAAAACTTGCTTTCGTAATTTCAGCAAGTGAGTTTGTTAACCCATTGACGACCATGCAATCCACATCTGGACTGCAGTTTATTTTTTGCTTCATTCATTTAAATTTCTACTTTCTTCCGATTCTTCTTCTCAAAACATTACATCATTCTAAATGAAACTACATGCAGCGTGGTCCTAGAAAATCCTCTAATTTTGCGAATGTAAACGTGTTTTTTTCAAAGCAGTACATTACCTTGGTGATTTTTTCATTCGTTGAACAACTTCAAAAAATGAGATGTTTTGAAAAGACGGTCGCCATTAGCATTTCCAAATGCGAAGCTCCTAAAAATTCTCCGAAACGATTTCTGGTAATGATTAATCACACGCGTGCTTTCGACTTTACAGGTTCCGGAGAAGGCAAATTAGCCGAAACATAAGCCACCGATAAAGCTATCTTTATCCAGGCCAATACATCCTTAACCGATGCAGGCTTATTATTAATCAAAATTATGACCGAAGTTTCAAACCAATCAGGTATTCTGCTAATTCAACTCTAAATGATCTTGTTTGTTGTGTGGGCAGCCGAAATTTCATGAATGGTCTTGTAACTCAATCCCGTAATGCGCGAGATTTACAAAAACCTTTTACCAGAACACCATAGCCTTTGATAACCTTGGGAAAATTCGGTGCTGTTCGGGCTAAACGAAAGCAACGCTCCAAAACCATTTTTTCCTTCCATGAGACTCAAAAATGGAAAAGAGTACTGAACTTTGGCAAACAACTATTGAACGCATGTTGCAAACATGCTAGGCACTTAGCCACGACTCTGAACAAATAAAGGAAAATATGACTATCCACTGACTAAGTAGGTCTCGATTCAGTACACCCTTTTGATCGAAAAATTTCGAATCTGTTCGCATGTACTTAGTCTGTCAAAAAAACCCAATCTTCATGCACGCTACAGGACGGCTTTAGAAAGGGAAATGGCTCTCTAGCACAAATTAGGGCGGTCAGCCAATTCTGTGGGACTGCCGAAGCTTCAGCCGGGTTCTGCAGTTTGATCCTGCTTCTTCTGGAATCTGTTCCGCCAAATACTGCGGAATCTTTGCAAGTAAACTGCTTCCATGCTCTGGCGAGACGTGGAAGTCGATGATTAAGTCGACTTCACAACTTGTTCGTAGTTAACAAAAGTAATTACTGTGATATTACTGTAGTCGTTTTACCACCCGCTTACGGACAAAGAAATCGCCGGTTCACATGACTCGATGCAGAAAAATGCAGAGGAGCGCTCTGCAGCACTGAACGCTGACTGCATATCCTTCGCGGGCACAGTTCTTTCGTGTTTACTTATCATAGCTGAAACCAATTGCAATTGAAGGTGGCACTGATATGTCAAAACGCATATATGCAAGTTTATTTTTTTTGCCTGTTCTATTGATCCCTCATATGAGAAACGACATTCGATGTTGTTCATGACCTTAGAGTTAGGAGAAGCATGGAACTGGTTTATCCGGGGAGCCTCATAAAATAAAGTTCTCAATATGCCTGCTGTGACATTTGTAGCACAGATACGGCGTTAGCCACGTGCAGTACGTCTGTAATTTGACTCAATGAAAAACAGTTAATTCTTCTCGCAATATTCCTCGCAAACTGCTCAGACCCACCGGCTTGAAACACTCCCTTCAACCTTAATGTTAGCGGCTATGTACTACAAGTAGTTAGTTGTCAGTTGTTTGTTGTCTGTTTCTCTTCTTCTACTCCCCAGCCTTGACATNGCGCAGCCGTGTGTCCGCTGTTCTTAGTAGCTGTCGCCAATTCTGTTCGATTTGCGGCACCTTCTGTGCACATTGCTTCAAAGGAATGCTTCCCGATCACGCGCTTCCACATTTTTATGGGGCTATTCGTGGTAGCTTTGCATTGAATTCCACCGCTTCATTGACTGTACGATCTTGTGCTCTTTGCAGCAAGTGCCCATGCCATCGCAATTACTGTTCTCTCATGTTCAGCGGAATAGAAATCTGATCATGTCGAGATTGCGAGAATGTCGAACATGGACTGTTTTGAATTGAAGCTGTCTGCATGACATTTCTGACGTCCTCGTTTCCGACCCGATCCAACCGCATCCAACCGGGGTCCTTCTGAGCATCCTTATCTCTGCGGAATGTAGTTCCTGAAATGATTCCTGCCTACTGCCCAACACTAGCTGTCGTAGAGCATCGTGCATCGTGGGTCTCACTACGACTCTGTAAATCCCCCCTTTGAGCTTCATGGAGCACAGTCGATCACAGAGAATGCCAATATTCTCCGTCGATGTCAAGTTTAATCACGCCTTTACAGCTTCATCCGCGCTACGGTCAGTGGCTAGGTTTTCTCTGGAGTATTAAGTGTTGTACCCCTTCAATGAATTCCTCACAGCGATTCACGACTTTCTCTATTCAAGGCTAAGCAATCTCCTTCAGTTTGGCCACAGCTCATTCCCTACCAGCAATCTGCTGTCTCTTTGGCTTGTCCTAAAGTTTTCACTAATTTTCGCGATCACAACGATATTATTCATGCAGAGAATGGTTTCCAATGGTGTTTCCACATATCATCTTGTTATCACGCCCGGTATTAGTTGGAAGAAGAGCGGCCTCAGAGCTTGAACAGTGACTTGTTTTCTTGAACTCGTCACTGAGTTGTATATGAGCTTTACTAGAATACGTTTCGATGGAATCCTCTTCTTTCAGACTCTGGAAGGATTGCATGTCAGCCTTGCAAAGCAGGCCGAACAGCGTTTCCCGCTTTATCCTAGCCAGGCTACGGTGGCTTTTGGGTGAATTTGCTGAGTCTAGGTATTTTGTACAATGCAAGTGTTAGGACAACTAACCGCTTTTGGATGAAAGAATTATGTAATAAGTTCTTAAACGACTTCTACTCTTCAAAAGCGGTCGTCGCAAGAGCCGCTTGAACCACTAAAAAAGAGCAGATCCCGGGTGCCATGTGGGAAAAAGTGGAGTGCAAGAAAACAGGCTAAGGCGGAGAAGGCCCAGGTTGCGACAACGTTCCTCCTGAATACCTGGAAGAAGGTGGATTACATCTCCTCAAAACGCTGGCAGAACGCTTTAAAAGATATCATAGTGAGAAGAGGATTCCGGTAGCGTGGAAGAAATTACGGACGATACTGCCAATGAAAAAAGCAATCCCGAAAGTTTGGACAATTATAGACCCATCACATTGCTATCTCAAGTCTATGAGACCTTCACTAGAATAATCCTAAATCGCATAGTCGGAAACCAGGACATGGCCATGAGCCGAGAGTAGGCGGAATTTCGAAGTGGGTATTCTACACTTAACCATCTTCATGTTGTGCAGTGCGTTTCATAATTATAAGGTCACCCTCAAATTTTGCACTTTCAAGAAAAGCAATCATTAAGGATTTTTTCTAGCATCATGAACGGATTCCTCAGCACGAATAACCTAGGTATCCGTTTTCTAGCCGCAGCTGCATTTTTCTGAACTTCTTTAGAACGGTTTATCGGTTTTTGCACCGTTTCATAATTATAAGGTCACTCCGAAAAAGTGAACAATTATTGATGGAAGAGAGGAAATTTCGTGTTTAAAGATACTTGTAAA